AAAAAAAAAAAAAAAAAAAGAAAGGAAGGGAATGTCACTCAGGTATCTGCATGCTCTTTGCGGCCCCTTGGGGTTCTGCATTTGGGAGTAATCTGATGGTCACTCACCCCAGTGAGGGTGGTCTATGCCCCTTGGCTGGTTGTCTCTTTTTCACTTGTCACAGAACCCCACTGGGACATGGCCGGCTATAGGATAAGCCTAACAGTGATCTGGCCAGCCACAGTTACCTTTTACAAAGGCTGGTTATGGAAATCCAGGTAAGTAGGTGGTAGGAATGTGACAGTCTGAAGTCAGTGGATGAAATCTTGTTTCCTGGGAATGTGAGTATGGGAATAAATATAATCCTGACTATTTTAGATAATGAAGATTACTCTATGGCTGGCAGGATGGAACAGCCCAAGACCGTGAAATGAGACAAGGTTCACACATTGCTTGGGATCCTAACCTGCTTGTTCTAAGGCTTCAAATGTCAGGGGCTACTTTTTCATGATATTTCATGCTTTTTGTGCTTCACAGTCTACAGAGAATTTTACAGATTGACAGAAAAGATAAAAAACAATGAAATGCTGTAAAAAAATAGTATTTCAAAATCTAGATTAGCTATGCTAACAAAAAGAAGCAGTGATAGGTTCAATCCAAAATACCATAAAAATCTAAAAATATTTTGGCTTCTTTCCTGCCTAGAAATACAACCATTACCTTAGGGTGGTAAGGCATGATGTAAAAGAGACTCTATAGAGGAAACATGTTGCTAGATTGGGTTATACAGAAATTACAAGTCTTTGTACTTCAGCAAAATAATTTAAATATTTTTAAAAAAATGACACACTGAGAAAAATATTTTCTATATATAATAAAGGGCTTATTTACCATATAAAACTACTTACACATCATTAAGGGGAAAAAAAGGCACTCCAAAAGAAAGAGAAACAAGGAACATGAATGTACTTCACAGAAAAAAGACAAACGGCCAATAATGTGGAGGTTAAGAAATACAGGCTCTGGCACTCAAATCCTGGTTTGGCCTCTTCCTAGCTGTGTGACCTTTGGTCAATTGTTTCACTTCTTTGTGCCTCAGTTTCTCATTTGTACAATGGAGGTAGTAATAATACCTGCTTCACAGAACTGTTTTGAGAATTAAATGAGATACTATATGAAATGTGCTCAGAAAAGTGCCTGGCACACACAGTAAGCATTCAACAAATGTTAGCTGCTATTGGCGTTCTATTTATTATTATTGGTATCATTATATGAAATGATATCTGACCTTATCTAGAATGAAAGAAATGAAAATAAGAACTGAGGTGCCATTTTTATGCCAGTCAGAATGGTGAACATGAAACTGATGAGCAGAATCTGTGATTGGCAGGGGGATGGAGAAGCAGATACTCCAACAGACAACTGTGGGAGTGAAAACAGATTCTGTTTTCTGGAGGACAAGTCTGCAAAGATGTGTCAAAATGCTCAAAAAGTATATCCTGTTTACACAAATTCTACTTCGGAATTTATCCCAAGGAAGTAACTGAACAAGATGCATGTGCCAGGTTATCTCAGTATTAATCATAACAAAAAACTATGAATAACTTACCATATTTTGCCGTGTATAATGTGCACTTTTTTGCCCAAATTTGTGAGGGAAAAATAAGGATATGCATTATACATGGGTAGTACTAATTGTGTATCTATATAAATGTTTTTAATTCTTTTATTTATGGTTATAAATTAAAAGTGTAACTCTAGAAATCAATAACGATATCTGTATACAAAATAATACCCTGGAATACGATAATCAGTTTTGTTGAACTTATGATGAACTTGCAACAATGAAGAGGTTCTTGGCCTTCTATGATGAGTAAATATCGTAAATTTGTTACCGGTACATAAAATTTCATGTACCTTGTATCTGTTCTTGTGTTTTGTAATTATTGGTTACATAAAATTTCTTGTACCATAATATGTTAAAAAATAAATGCTAAGGGCCGGCTGAGTGGCTCAGTTGGTTAAGAGCTCGCTCAAGAGTTTGAGCTCTGAGCAACAGCGGTTCGAGTCAGCCCGAGCTGAG